GGGGTTAGTTTTGCGTGAGGGTGGGTGGGTACTTGTTTAGGGGGTGGAGGTTTGGGAGGAAGATGATAAAATTTTAGGGTGGGATTCTTACATATTTTCTTCTATATATAATTAACATTTAGCTCTTTGTGTGTATACGCCCTTCGTGGAAACCAGTTGTAAATAATTGTCGAAGTCAGCGTATTGAAATAAAGTTTTACATACATACATACATACATACATACAAAACAGTAAATTGAACTGACTGGTGTTTTTTTTTTACATTCAGTTAAAGTGAATGCTCGGATGAGATTGGGGTTTCTCTTTTATCAAAAACATCAAATGAGTAAAGCGGTAGAAAGCCTCGAAAACGGTTTAAGACAAGCAAGAATTGTCTACCACGGGAAAAACCGTCTCCCAATCGCTGACACGCTAGCACACCTTGGAGCTGCACTAAGGAGTGATGGAAAGTTCAAAGAATCACTCGCGTATTTTCAAGATGCAAAAGAAGTCACAGATGACATCTTCGGACCAGATTACGTGCACCCTAACACTTCGGCTATCCTCAGTAATTTGGCACTAGTTTGTCAAGAACTTGGTGATTTGAAGCAAGCTAAGGAATACGGCACCAAATCCGTTGATGTAGACAGAAAACTTAGTAAAACAATAGATGGATGCCCATCTGTTGCATTCCGACTTCATACCCTAAGTGAGATATGCCATGCCATTGGAGAGCAAGATGAAGCAGTAAAGCGTTTAGAAGAAGCGAAAGCTATTTTACAAGCGGCTAGTTCTAAACATGCCCTCCTGGTGATGATATTAAGTGAGTTGATGATACGATATTACCTTATGGGGTCCATGGACAAACTAGTAACGACTGCCGAGAACTTTCCAGAAAATTATATTGATCGTCTAATGGAAATACTCGAGATGCTGACGAATGACGATGGAAGTCTCATGCTCAGATTTACCAACTATAGAAATTTTCAACAGTTACCTGCTTTGATTCTAGGAAAGGGTTAGTCTATTTGGTGCGGATGGCAATTTATTATAATAATATGACTTTTTCACTGAAAAATGAGTGAAATAAACATTGTATGCGAGCGCACTATTTTTTTCACTAGTTTGAAAAATATCATCCGTCCAATCAGAAAGCCGAGAAGATTATTTTCACTCGTGAAAAAAATCATGTCAGCTCGCTATACGGTTTTCCACGCTTGTTTACAACATGGCCGGCGAGATTTAAGAGTGATGTGTATAATTTTTTAAGAAATAAGCAGTGAGAAGTACGTTTAAACTTCAAGTAAAACGTCTTTCGATTAAATTTTTCAATGTAGTGTAAAATATTCCTGAATTATTACTTGCCAGTAACAATCTTTGTATCATATTAACTAGAAATACATGCGGTGATCCCCTCGCCTCGGATTCAATATTGCACATGATTTTGCAGAAATATATATAATTAACTTGATTAACTTAAATACAGGGCTTCCACATTTTATTAGCATATATCTCACCACTGAACGGGGGAGAGATTTTATGTTAAATTAACCAGAAACCTCGAAAACCATTTTCATAAACGCAAAAATCGATAAATTGATTTCCATTTTCCTATAGGATTGCTTTTGAATGTATCCAAAACCATTCTCATGAGCTATATATTGGCTAAATTGTTTGAATTTGTCCAGGGATTGGTTTTGGATGCATCCAAAACCATTTTGATTAGCCATCCTCACGAGCAATAAATTGGCTAGTTTGTTTGCATCTGCCTAGGGATTGGTTTTGGATGCATCCAAAACCATTCTGATTAGTGCTAAAATCTGTAAATTGATTTTCATTTTCCAATAGGATTGGTTTTGGAGTCATCCAAAGCCATCCTCATGAGCTATAAATTGATTAGTTTGTTTGCATCTATCTAGGGCTTGGTTTTGGATGCATACAAAACCATCTCATGAGCTATAAATTGATTGGCTAATTTGTTTGCATTTGTCTAGGGATTAGTTTGGGATGCATGCAAAACCAATCCCTGCATGACAAATGCAGGCAAATTAGCCAATATATGCATAGCTCATGAGAATGGATTTGGATGCGTCCAAAACCAATCATAGAGGAAAATGGAAATCAATTTACCGATTTTAGCGCTAGTGAAAATGGTTTTGAATGCGTCCAAAACCAATTCCTAGACGAATGCAAACAAATTAGCAAATTTATAGCTCATGAGAATGGTTATGGACGCATCCAAAACCAATTCCATAAGCGCTAAAATCGGCTGATTTGTCTGGGGATTTTTTGCTAAAATCAGTGAATTTGTTTGTAGGCCTATTTCTCTAGGATTAGTTTTGGACACATCGGTCCACTGACTTCCATTTTCTTACTGGATTGGTTGTGGACGCATTCAAAACCATTTTCATGAACTATGAATTGGCTAATTTGTCTGCATTTCTTTTTCATGAGCTATAAATTGGCTAATTTCTTTACATTTGTCTAGGGAATGGATTTGGATGTATCCAAATCATTTTCATTAGCGCTAAAATCTGTAAAATGATATCCATACATTTTCCGATAGAATTGGTTTTGGACGCATCCAAAACCATTCTCATCATCTAATGAACTATGAATTTTCTAATTTGTTTGCATTTCTTTCTCATGAGCTATAAATTGGCTAATTTCTTTGCATTTGTCCAGGGATTGGTTTTGGGACGCATCCAAAAGAATTTCTATAAGCGCTAAAATCGGTTGATTTGTTTTCATTTGTCTGGGGAAAAATCAGTGAATTTGTTTGTATTTCTCTAGAATTAGTTTTGAACACATTGGTCAATTAATTGACTTCCATTTTCCTCGTGGCGAGAAATTGTGGTCATTAGGGGGCGGAGCTTAAGTATAATATATTCTGCGTTCATAAATGTCTTGGTTTCCACCAGTGGCTTATAACGCTTTTTTAACCGCTCAGGATTAAGTATTGGATGCTTAAACCCCGTTCGTAATAATTTTTAGCTTGTCGG